CACACCTCAAAGTAAGTGTACTTTTCTACCTATTTTTTTTGTTGAATTTAGGCAATTTTCGGTGAGCTGGAACCAATTACCCAAAAACCCATTGAAACAATGGTTTCGGTTAACGAATTTTTCGGTTAACGAACAACCTGCTGGAACGGATTGTGTTTGTTAACCGAGGGACCACTGTATACATACACACACAGTGGTCCCTCGGTTAACGAGCACAATTTGTTCCAGCAGGTTGCTCGTTAACCGAAAAATTCGTTAACTGAAACCATTGTTTCAATGGGTTTTTGGGTAATTGGTTCCAGCTCACCGAAAATTGCCTAAATTAAAAAAAAAAGGTAGAAAAGTACACTTACTTTGAGGTGTGTATGTAGAAGGCTCCTGGATGATGATGATGATGATGGGAATTAGAATGGGGGTGGAGGAGAAGGAAGAAGAGAAGGCATTGGGATGGAAGAGAAGTCACCCCATGGCACCATTTCACCCATAAAATTTTAGTTCTTGGTGTATTTCAAGATTATTTTCTTTAAATCAACGCTGCACTGCATTATATATTGTCAATATATAAAATATATTTCAAAATGACCAATAATTTGCTTGGAAACACAGAAAAAAAGCGTTTAGTTGAAGAGAGTCTCAAGCAAGATGTTACCTCCACTGATAAGACACAGAGACTGACGCCTGTATGGTGTGTTGACAGGCTGTTTGGCGTGTAAAAAACTAGCTTCCTATACTTCAATTATGTTCAATAAATGTTAAAATGACTAAACAATTTAATAACTTTTTAAAAATTATTGAGTAGTACAAACTTCTTGATATTTACTAAAATAGTAAGGAATTTAAGACCTAGAACCGATTACTGTATTCAATTTCAATTTCAATTGTTTATTCCTTGATCGAGGAAGCGGGATGCTAGTGCTGTCACTAGGTACCCCTGTATTGGCGGACTAATACTACAGCTGGTGGACCGCCAAATGCAAGCGAAAACATGTTGAGAGGCTCTCGTAAGAAATTCGTTAATCGAGGGATTGCTCGTTAACCGAAGTTAAGAATCTTATGGAAGGTAATTAGTAAACCGAAATCTCGTTAAACAAGGCGCTCGTTAACTGAGGGATCACTGTATATATATATATATATATATATATATATATATATATATATATATATATATATATATATATATATATATATATATATATATATATATATATATATATATATATATAGTATATATATTGTAAACAAGACATTTTATAGGGCATACAATAATTGTAGTTCTGTATGTATGTAACTTTGATTGAAAATTGTGACTCTTGTAGTTATCTCATGCACACACGCATTTCACCTGAACAACAAGGGACACTAGGCCGATTCTTCTCCAACTGTACTGTGCAATAGGACGTCCCATACTGGTGTCTGTCATTCAATCATTTTCTATTTGCTCCAGAGATGATTTAGTGTGCATTTATGGTATGTTTTATCCCAAGTTGCAGAAAAAAAAAAATAATAATAATAATAATTTCAGTGAAAAGATTGCTTGAGAGAGAGAGAGCTAACTTTGACCTCTAAAAGCTAAAATGACACTTGTGTAAAATGAAAACTATAAAATGGTTCTTACCTGATTTATCTTCATCATCATCAGATATACATAATCCAAATTCCCGCCGTAGTCTCGCTGTTAAATTTTCTCTCTGGCGTTCCAGAAGTGTGGGTGCTGCATTCCATTTCACATCCTGAGATGTGGCATTACTAGTGATGGTAGTAAGTGGGGTACTTGTAGTTGTTCCAGCAGTGTTTGTGACTGCTATACTGTTAGTTGTAGTTAAAGCATTTGTTGCAACTGTGGTGATGGTGGTACTACTACAACTATTGTTTACACTATTATTACTACTCTTGATGCCGTGTTTGCTGTTGTCATTAATGCTACCTCCTCCATTATTGTTGTTGTTACTCTCTGCATCTGATGGCAAAAAAAAAAATTATGCAATGTATAATTATATAAGCCAGGAATTTTAGCTTTGCTGGGGATAATTTTTTTTTTTTAAATTCATTCAGTTATTAATAAAAAAAAAGCAGTTGTCAAAATACTCACCATTTTTAACTTCATCTTTGGTAGATTTGCTATCAAGGACAATGGATAATGGGGTGATCATAAGTGGTTGTATAGGAGAGAGTGCAAGATCTGGGGAAGATTCATCAGCTTCAGTCTGAGCCAACTTTGATGGAGAGAAATATGTAGGAGAAATAGAGGGTTCTCGTGTTGATATATTGGAGGAACAGGAAGGATTAGATGAGAAAGAAGAGTCTGCGCAAGGAGCAGACAATACTGTGGAACATGTAAGTGATAAGGAACGTGGTGGTGATGAGTCTGATGGTCCACTTAATCCTCTATTATCACCCTCACTGCTCACACTTTTCCTCTTGCGGTACTCCAAGATCGATAACTGTTACCGGAAAATCAGAATTAAATAATGTAAGCAATAGATAAAAATTATTTAAAAATAATTGTGTGTAAATTTACATGAAAATTTTATCTCTAATTAAACAACCCACACTTTAAGGCAAGGATACCTTGTCACACCAACTTTGACATTCAAAAAAGAATTACTAGAAGTGGATCAAATTACCTTCCTTTTAATAGGTGCAGGTTTTGGCTCTTCTTGTAGTGTTGGCTGTGATGAAGACTTATTGGAAGCCTCCCCATCTTGTCGTTCATCATCAGCATTTTCCTCCTGCATTGAAGGTGGAGGAGATGGGGGTGTACAAGGCCCTCTTGTTCGTGATCGTGATCTTCTCTCTGAAAGGCTTTCCCCCTCAAGAGTTCTCTCCCTTTCTGCTTCAACTTCCTGGGCTGGTGAAGGGTTTCTCTGACAATGTATTGGTGATCCGGGACTTTGTGGGGATACTTCTGACTCATCAGGGGTAGTTGGAGCAGGTCCATCTGGAGTATGGGGTCCTCTCAATTCAGGTGAAATAGGTCTTGGGCTCTCAGGAGATCTAGTTTCATGTCTCTTTGGCATCTCTTCATCTATCTCTGAGCTATTACTTTGCTTCAATGACAAAAAGGTTGTAACAGCTAATGGACTTTGACATCTTAGTTCTGTGGGTTGAGTTTCTTCAGAAAGAGGAGTATTAGTTTTGAGATCTTTGTCCAACACTTTTCTTTCATATTTAACACTATTTCTTAAATCACCAAGTTCTCCAAAATCATTATCCTGTTTTTCATCTTCCCTTGCTTCTTCTTCTGGTTCTTCATTTTTAATCTTTATCACTAAGTCTTTATCATTCTTAGTATTTGACTCTTGTTCTTCATATTTTTCAGTTATAATGTCTTGTGTTATAGCATTTTCACCCACAGTTTGAAGGTTAGATTCCTCTACTTCTGTCACTGGTTCTTCATCATTCTTTGTATCCAAGTGTTCATTTTTATCTTGATTTACACACTGCACTTGACTTTCCTCAGTCTTGACAACCACATGTTGCTCTACCTCACTCTTTACCATCTGCTGCTCCTCTTCTCCTTTCTTTTGTTTTTCTACTTTACCACATTCTTTATTCAAATTTTGTTGTGTATACTTTACTTCTGTCAATACTTGCTTTAATTCTTTTGGACAAATTTTTACTCTTCTTCTTCTTGGTGAGGATCGCTGTGTTCCGTCTAACTTTGGCTGAGCAGGGAGTTCTTCTTTCACACAATCTTGATCACTTGTCTCACTTACTTGGGGCAGCTGTTCAATGGTGTCACCCTGAACATCAACCTTAGCATCTTCCTTTAGTTCCTCTTGTTCATCTTTCTCTCTTTTTACACTATGTACAACTTTAGTTTTTTTGCCAGTTTTCTTATCTTTCTCTCTCTTATTTTTTTCCTTATCCTGGCTTACATTACCTTCCCCTTGGTTCGTTATCTTTCCTTCAATTTCTTGGTTTTCTTCAATTTTTACTTCTTCTGGTTGCTTGTCTATTCTCTTTATGTCCTTGCTTTCATTTTCTGGCAAGGTTTCCTCCAGTTGGCTTTCCTTTTCACTTAACATTTCAACCCTTTCTAACTTTACTTCTTCCTCTATTTTTTCTCCCACCTCCTTTGATACATTTTTCTCTTTTCTCACTTCTATTGCCTTGTCTATCGTTACCTTGTGTTCTTCTGTTTCTTTCCCTATTTCTCTGACATCAATTTTATCTCTCAGTTCTTGTTCCTCTACTTCTTTCTTTACAGTCTCTTTTTCTATATCAATCTGTGTTTCTAGTCTATCTGTTGCTTTCTTTAGTTTCTGTTTTATTTCTTCCTTAATTTCCAACTTGTTAAATTCCTTTTTCTTTTCTTGCTTGGCTTCTTCCTTTATTTCTTGTCTTTCCTCTCTCACCTTTATTACAACCAGCTGACCTCTCTTTTTTTTCACCTGTCTCTGTGGATTTCTCTCGCATTTGGTTTCCATCTGGTAGCTCTTGCCTTTCTTAGTACATTGTTGCCTTCTTTCTCTCTTTGGCACTTGTTGTTTTCTTTCTCTGTTGATTATGTGCTGCCTTCTCTCTCTCTTGGTCTCTTGCTGGTATTTTCTCCCTCTTCTTAACCCCATTTGTTCATTTCTCTCACCCACCCCTTCATTGTCATTGTCCTCTTGTTCACTTTCTTCTTTTAAAGTCTTTGTCACTGAAAAACCAACAGAATATCTTGTCTTTAGAGTACAATCACGAACTGCATTTCTTTTCAACATTTCTTCTGCCTTTTTAATTTTGGTCCCTGGCATATCCTCTTGAAATTCACTATATAATCCATTCTTATCTATTTCCCTAATATTTCTATCAAAAAAATGTTTATCCTCTTCAGCAATCAGTTCTTCATTTCCTTCATTAACCATTTCCTTAATTTTAGCAGAACTGTCTTTAGTATTATGGAACTCACTAGGGTTTACTCCATGAATCATAAGACATGCTGGATCTTCTGAATAATTACCATCTTCTTGTTTTAACTTGGATACAGCTTCCTCAGCCAGCTCTGCTTCCATCTGAATTAGAGAAAGGACACAATGAGTAATTATTATACTACACAGTCATAATACTATCCTTAAATTACATCCAAATAGTGAAGACAAAATTTGATACACATATTTGACAATAAAATAATTCAGAGCAACATACTAGCAATTTCTGAAACTAAGATTATTGTCTTCCCATACAATGATACATAACTGTATAAGAACCATTTCTGAAGACAATAATGCATATCAACTTTTAAAGAGGTCTTGTGAAGCTACAGTATGTAAATGCTCCTTAGCATTTTTCAAATACCTTAACCTGAGAAAGAAAGTTTTACTGTATATACAGGAGGGTGCTATCCAGCGTGGGGTTACAATGTTCCCAAGAAAATTTAAAATATTAAATTTAATAATGGGTATAACATCTGCATTTAATTTATTTAGTACCCTGTATTTTAATTTTTTATGCCATTGGAAGTCCAGGTATGAAATATTATGGCTGTCATTCATGACATACAGCTATGCAGTCAAAAAGACACTTTGTGCAAACACATACACACACATACCAAGAAATTTTAAAGTTAGTCAATATATAAGTTAACCAGAGAGGATATACAGTATATATAAAGAGAGAGAAACCTCAACCTCTCTCATTGGTGGTTACAGTTTCCTGAGGCTGTAAAAGAAGCATTAGCCCAATGTCTAAATATTTTGTGCTGTTTACAATTCCAAATACAATAACACTAATTCCCATACCTTGCATGAAGGTACCTAATGAGATAATTGGCACAGGATGCAAGTCACAAAGTATTAACACATGACTTATATAATATAGGGGGTTTCATCACAAGACCCTGAGCAACAGCCACATAAAAAAATTCAAATGTCTAGGCGCCACTCCCAGCCAGCAGCAACCTCCTCATCCCACGACCACTTACACTCCCACTTTCCTTCCACCTGATTATGTGCTATTCACTATGCCATGTCTTCCAAGCATTCAAAAGAAGATTGAAAGGGCATTAGATACAGTTCAAAAAGACTGCATGAGTGAAGAGAGAAAACTTGAAACACTTGAAATAAACTTTTGTGTATTATCCATCTGTAGTCATAGTCTTCTTAAAATAACATATTTAATACAGTACCATTTAGCTGCTGGAAAAATAAAATTTCAATGGTTTCACTACATACGGGAGACAGCTCAGAACAGCTGATATCCTTCACTCCCCCTCCTCTTAACACATGTAGGAAGTTACTTCCCTTTTATGTTTTTGACCTTAGTTATTTTTTTTTGTACATTCTGTATGTAAGATTGTAAAATGCATTTAACAAGAAAAAAAAAATTATGTGTATTTACCCGAAAATACGAGTTGAAAAATATCTATAACATAGCTCATAGCTTGGCTTGGTAGCTTGGTGGTTACATTGACGTATCTAACTTGATTACAATGTCGCCAGCGATGTTAACAGATGCAAATGTGAAAAGAAAGTTAACTGTAAACCTTCATTTGTATCAGGTATTTAGATAGTAATGCTTGTAAGAGTTCAGAAATGGTTACTGCTTAGCTCTGAAGAGTTGGGTGCCTGCCATACAGACACTCATCGTCTTGGGTTATCATCATCAGTACAGTAGTTATAAATCCGGCTTTCATATATACAATTATTTTTTTAACCAATTAAATATAATATTAATGAGTTAAAGTAAGCAATAAAAAAATTAATTCTGGAGTTGGGCTAGGAAGAATTTAGCCTACTGGAGAGAGCAACTGTAGGATGCATTAGCTTATGGCAGACAGCAACTTCACATAAAGGATGCAGGCTGCTTTTTCTTTTAGCCATTTTTTTTAGACAACAAAATGCATGCCATAAAATATGGTACTTTATTCTTGACTTTCTACAAATTAGGTTGAAGGATGTTGGCCTGTTTTTGTAGGAGTAAAACTGTGCCGTATGGTACTGTAAAAAGGTACAAAATCCCTGAACATAAACCTAAACACACTATAACAAATGATGTACAGTAGTACCCGATTTACGCGGTCAATTGAACCCACAGGGTACCGCGGAAAGTGAAAACCGAGTAAAGTGTAGAACATATGGGATTAATTCCAATAGAGACTGGCCCGACCCCCAAACTCCACTTTTTCCGACACAATACCTATGTTGTAGTAAAAAGAACATCTAAATTTTATGATGGTATGCTCACATAATTAATATTTAAGAGAAATACAGTGCCAAGTTAATGTCTATTCAAATAATGGACTCAAATCCCCCCCCCCTCTTCCCTGCTCACTAGCTCCTACCTCTCTGAGAAATGATTGGGTGAAAACACTAGATTTTCAACTTTTAGTAATAAATAATACCTCAGACTAAAGTTAGGATAATATAATTATCATTTCTGGATTCCTTGCAGGTCAGGGAATATTTTGAATGTAAACTTCATATATTTTGCACAAAAAATAAAATATTTGCTTTGTGTAAACCAAATTATTACATTAGATCTAAAATTTGTATGTCTAATGCAAAATCCATGATGTTTATATTCAAAATGATCATCATATTGTAAGAATTCCAGCAATGTAAATTATATTCTGGTCGAGTAATTTGTATGAATTTTATGAGCTAAAACAAATATCTTCAGTTAATAATAAAAAAAAATATTCTTCACGACACTATCTGTCAATCAAAGTACCCCACCTTGCCTCCCCACCCCTCCTCACACTCACGCCAGCTGGGTCGGTCGGTCCCAACCCTCCCCCCACCCCCCACCTTCCCTCCCTACCAGAGAAATGTTTGGGTGAAAATACTAAATTTTTAACTTTTAGTAATAAATAATACCTCAGACTAAAGTTAGGATAATATAATTGACATTTCTGGATTCCTTGCAGGTCAGGGAATATTTTGAATGTAAACTTCATATATTTTGCACAAAAGAAAAAATATTTGCTTTGTGTAAACCAAATTATTACATTAGATCTAAAATTTGTATGTCTAATGCAAAATCCATGATGTTTATATTCAAAATGATCATCATATTGTAAGAATTCCAGCAATGTAAATTAAATTCTGGCCGGTAATTTGTATGAATTTTATGAGCTTAAAAAAAAAAAAAAATTATATTTCACAGTGTATATGAGTAGATGCACCATGAAAGTGAAAGTCCGTTGTAAGGTACCGCGAAATGAGAAAAATCGGAAAGTAAAACCGTAAATCGGTGTGTGTGTGTGTGTGTGTGTGTGTGTGTGTGTGTGTGTGTGTGTGTGTGTGTGTGTGTGTGTGTGTGTGTGTGTGTGTGTTCACAACTTGTACTCCAAAAAAGTTTGCTTGGAAAACTTTCTGTAGAGTATCCGGTACACGTCGTTTCTTCAATTTGAGGCTGTGACCTGCAGTGAGAGACTATGCATTGTTTTTGATGTATCACTTCTTCTTGAAGTGTTAAATAATTTAATAAGTTTCATTAAATATGTTTTTTTAAGGCTTGATATCAAAAGAAGACAACCAATCAGCTGATGAAAATGTAACATTTCTCCTGCCCTCCACATGTACTACTGTATTCACAACACACCTTTCTATTGCTCTATTATTTACCTTGAGTCTCAACAATTGCAGTTCAGTAAGCAATTATTCAGCTCAAGGTGAGTTACAATCTATTAAAATGTGTTTTGAGTTACAGAATTAGTGCTGAAGTGAGAAAATGTGATGTCTGAAAGGAATTTTTTGGTGCATGTTTTTGGGCTGCAATCCTGTATCCCATATTTCATATTAAATTCAGCCCAGGTATCTTCAACAGTCCCAGCAACAAATGCATCCCCTTTAACCCCATGCAGGCATCTTTTGGCAAAAATAAGTTTTATTTTTAATCCACAGTCAACAACTGGTATTTCAGGCATAAAATTAGTGCGGACACTCCAAGCATACTGTTGTGGTAGGCATTCATGTGGTCCCCTATGTCCATGGCCATCACAGCACCCCTGACCATGACATCACTGTCATGGCAGGGTGGGGAGGGGGAGTGAGCGCCATTGTCTTTAACACTGTCCTCACTGCTGACGGCCTCAACAAACTCAACATCGTATGGGTCTGTTTCCTTCCCATCACTGTCTTCATCACCCGATACTATATCAGTACCACTCAAATCAAGCAACTATTGGTGAACAGTACTACTGTCGAGGGTGTGGAGGAGCAAGGTGGGTCACGGGACGTCAAAGGAATGCATCCATCTTGACAGCTGGTGGGTAACTGGACCACTAGACTTGTGACAAATGTGACAAATATTACATGCGAGGTGAGTTGCCAATGAAATAAATATCCTATACTGTACAAAGTAATTGGTCTCACCAGGACATTCAGAGTATATTGCAAAAAAAAATTTCAGGGAAGGGACCCTCGCTATAAATGAGGACTACAGTGACCCCTCGTTTAACGAACACCTCGGTTAACGTAATTTCGATTAACGAACTGCCTTCCATAAGGATCTTCAATTCGGTTAACGAAAAAAAATTCGGTTAACGAAGTTCTTACGAACCGACCTCAACATGTTTTCGCTTGCACTGACCAGGCAACCAGCTTTAGTATCAGTCCACCAACACATTAATCGGTTCTAGGGCTTAAATTCCTTACTATTTTAGTAAATATCAAGAAGTTTATACTATTCAATAATTTTAAAAGTTTAATATTCAATTTTTTAGTCATTTTAACAATTATTGAACATAACTGAAGGTAAAGTGACTAGTTTAATGTGCGGCATCCAGCCTCTTAACACAGCAAACAGGAGTTAGTCTCTCTCTGTTTTCACTGGAGGTAACATCTTGCTTGAGACTCTCTTCAACTAAACGCTTTTTTCTGTGTTTCCAAGCAAATTATTGGTCATTTTGAAATATATTTTACATATTGACAATATATAATGCAGTGCAGTGTTGATTTAAAGAAAATAATCTTGAATTACACCAAGAGAGCTAAAATTTTATGGGTGAAATGGCGCCATGGGGTGACTTCTCTTCCACCCCAATGCCTTCTCTTTTTCCTTCTCCTCCACC